CTTATTTTATTCAGAATCAATCAAAAATAATACAGAGTGTAATTAAAAAATCTACTTTTGCACAAATAACTGCTTCTATTATTACTATTTTTACTCAGTTAATATCTTTAGAAGCTTCAGAGAAAGAAAAATTTAAAATCAGAAAAAAAAAGTTTTAAAATCAAAAAATAATATCTTATTTTAAAACTTTTAAATAGAGAAGTAATAAGTCAACTTTAGAGCCTAAAAATGATTTTTAATTTAAAAAATAAGTTAAATTAAAGTTTATTCTCAGTAATAATGAATAAAAAATAATTTTTATAATTAATATTTTTTTATAAGAAACTTTGTAGTAATTATCATATTGTTTGAATTCTCAGTTAATTTTCTCATTTTCAATAAGAAAGAATGATCTTTACTAGAAAAAAACTATAGATAAAGATTAAATTAGATAAACATAAAAAATAAGAAAAATTAATTATTTACAATATTCTCAATAATATTTTTAATGATGAAAATAATATAAGAGTACTGAAAAAAAGAGATAGAAAATTATAATTCTATAATTTAATTAAAGAATAATTTTATTTAATTAAGTAAATCTAATATTAGATAAAAAAAAAATAAAGTTAATATTAATTATAATTAAATCTTTAGAATAGATAAAAATTTCATTACTCTTTATAGCTGATCAAGTGTTAAAAACTTTTAAATATATTAACTTTAAATTCATAATTAAAATATATATTCAATGCAAAAGATATTAATAATAAAATTATTTTATAGAAGCTTACAAATACTCTATAATATATAAAATTTATGTAGAAAGTTATAGCATAATAGATCACACTTATATCATATGTAATGTGAAAAGTAAATCATATTTTCATATCATAGTTAAGTGCAAGAATTGCAAGAAAAATTATATATCAACAGCTTCAGTTTTTACTTTTTATTTAAAAAATAAAAGAAATAAAGTTTTAAAAGAGAATTGAAGAGATAAAACAGTCTCTAATAAGAATAAAGTAAAATTTTCAATCAAGAAGTAGAACTAAAAGAAGAAATTCTCAAGTTAAAAAATTATCAGAAAGCAAGTCTTCAGTAAAAATTAAATTGACTATCAATTTAACTACTTCTATAAGAATATTTAATCTTAAATCTTAGAAATTAATTTCTGTAAAAGTTGTTGTAATCACTAATAATAGTAAATTATAATATTAAAAAGAGAAAATTTTTATTTATATATTTATTTAAATATTTATTATAATAAAAAAAGAATAAAAAAATTAAAAATTTTCTTTTAAAATTATATTTTTATAGACTAATATAGAAAGAAGTAATATTTTTATTTATATTTGTCTAAATATAATTTTTATTTAGAAAATTAATTTTATTTTAATATAAAAAAAATATCTAAATATTAAATATCAATTTTAAATTTTATATTCTAATTAATATTATTTTTTATCAGAGAAAACTAAAGTCAAATTTAGAGTAATAATATACTCTAGAAAAAGCTTATGATTTCAATTTAATTTAAGATATAATATGATTTCAGATTCTAATATTCTAGTTAATGATATTATAAATAAATTTAATTAAATAAAGTCTATTCAGCTGATTAATATTTATAATGAAAAATCTTTACAGAAAAATGATAGTAGTTAAATAGTAAATAAAGCTCTTCTTAACTTATCAATAAACAAAAAATCAATCATAAGTAAAGATTTCACTACTCATGTTAGGCTCAGCGCCCGACCGAGCCCGACCGAGGCCCGGTGCCCGGTTAGACTCGACGTCAGATTAAGCTCGGCGCCCGATTAGGCCAAATATTCTCACGTGATCAAACGACCATGCGGGTGGTTATAACCCGGGCAGGCCCCAGCACCTCTTTCATCCCATCAAGCTTAGTATTTCGTTATATAGCAGTTAGCAACGCAGAGAGTTTCCTTCTTATGCAGCTCACATTCACTCCCTAACAACTCATGATGAAATAAGAACTATACTCAGTTTATAAGAGTAGATAAATTAATAAATTAACTCATCTTAAAAAAATTTGATTTAATTAATAAATCTGACAAAGAAATATATTATAAACAAAATTTATTAAAAAAGTCAATCATAGATCTAATCTTTTTATCTAAAGAACTACATGAGAAAAAGATATAAAATTGATTTATTAATTCAGAAAAAGCATCAAAATCAAATTATAAAGTTATTCAATTTAATATACAATTAGATAATAATGATAGAGTTTAGAATTTATTACTATCTAATCAATATAACTTTAAAAAAGCTTAATAAACAGAGACCATAAATCATATAAAAGTTTGAAAAAAAATCAAAAAAGTTTTTTTATATGATATTAATACTAAATTATCAGAATTCTATATTAGAGAATAAAATAGTATTAAATAAATTAATATTTATACTATCAAGGTATCGAAGAGTAATTATATTTAAAAAAGAATTAATTCAAATTACTTTAAAACTTCTAATAGTCCTAAAGCTCCTAATTTATTATATATAGGAGAATTAGGCTAGGAATCTAGAAAAAGATTAAAAATGAAAATTTAAATATCTTGGAAATTATATTATAAAAATATTAAAAAATTATCTATATTTTTAATAGTAAATAGAGTGAGAGATTAAAAAAGTAAAAGAATTTTATAAATCAATTTCAACTATTATAAAATAAAGCTTTAAGAAGAATTTTAAAAGCTTTTAAAATATTTTCAGTTAGAGCTATGAAAATAGAGATATCAATTTTATTATTAGATATTAAATTTAATAAAATCTATATAAATTATACTTCAAGAATTATGAAAATAAATACAAATTATTTAATTTAAATAAGAGTATCTACTTCATATTTATCAGATATATCTGTAAAAGATTTAAAAAAAGAAAGATTTTTAAATTAAAATAAATATTTTAATAATTTAAAGAAGATATTATCTTCTCAGCTATATAGAATATATATTATAATTAAAAATCAATTATCAAACTTAAATATAAAAAGTATAAATCATAATAAGCTCTATTTTTAAAAGAAAAATCTAAAATTATTAATAGATATTTCTACTAGTGAACTGTTAAAAAAAGAGAAAAAAACTACATATACTTAAAAACTTATAGAGATAAGTAAGGAAAACTCATTTTTAATATATTTAGATGATTTAAAAAGTAAATAAGAATATTTAAAAGCTAGTATAGTAGTTAAATATTCTGATTTAAATTGAAAATATGAGATATTTTTATAAAATCTAGAGAAAGAATATGAAGTCTTTAATATTAAATTATTTATAATTCAGAAGGCTTTTATAATAGTTTATAAAATAATTTCTCAAAAAGTAAATATTAATAATATTTAGATATTTTCAGATAGTCAAATAGTATTAAAAAACTTCAGAATTATAAAATTTAAAGTGATCAAATAAATCTTAAATTAATTTAAAAAATAGTAAAAAGAATTAAAATTATAAATAAAAATATTCAGATTTACTTATCTTAAGTATTTACTTATGAGAATCTAATAAAAAGTGACTATTTTGAAAGCTTTGATCACAGAAAACAAATTGAATTAAAAAAAGATAAATAAATGTCTTCAAGAACACAAGTTGCAGAATCATTGAATATTTCTGCAAGCAACAACATGAATAGAGATGAACATGAATATGATGCATCTATTTCTGAATTCAGAGAAGAAACTGATCAAAGAGATGAAATAAATATGAATAAAAGTAATACAAATATGATATGAATAATGATAAAATACATGAAAAAACAGCATAGATAGATAGAAAAACTCATATAAAAATTAGAGAAAAACTTAGATTTCTTATTAAATACTACTAAGAATCTCATCAAGAGTAAAGTTGATGAATTTTGTAAAGATGTAAAGATTAAATTAAAAGAAAAACATATAGTCATTCTCACTGAAGTTAATTATCTAAAATGAAAAAGCTTTATTCTTGCAGATGCTTATTTAATTTAGATAAAAAATGTTCTTAAAAAACAACAAACAGCATCTTCTATCACAGTTTTTCTGAAAATTGAGCTTTAAAATAAGAAAAATGAACTTTTTTACACAAGAATTTTTCAATCTTTGAATGCAATTGTACATGATTCTTTAGAAGCACTGGATGAAGATTTCTATCTAGCAGTAACTATATGAAAGAATCTTGCTCAGCACTACACTATATCTCATACAGAAGAATGTTTTCAAATTACTAAGTTAAGAGACTTATGACTCAAAAATAATAATTTTCATATCTATCTTGCAACTTTTCAAGATCTAAAGACAAAACTTGTATCTCTAGGTGAAAATTGAGCTGAAAATATCTATCATGATTTATTTATACTAGAACTGAGAGATTGACAATAGAAATTTATTAACATAAAGCTGAATAATTTCTATATCATCAAACAGAGCTTTATTTAAAATCTAAATCTTGATGAATTGATGAATCAGTTGATTACTCATGCCACTATCACTACAACTCATTTCAACTCATCTGCTATAAATGCTGTCACTGAATGATTTGATGAACATCAATGCCACTACTGTGAGAATACAAAGCATATAATCAAATACTATTGATTTAAGAACTCAAATCTCATAAGTACTGAATGACAGAAGCATAATAAGAAGCATATTGAGATATTGAAAAATAGAAATAGAAATAAGACTAAGAATAGAAATAAGAGCAAAGATAGAAATATAGAAAATCTACTTGCAAGTCAAGTAAGTCAAGCATTCTTTACAATAATTTCTTCAAATATTAAAAAACTTTTGAGAAGTCAGTCAGATTATAAGTGAAATAAAAAAAGAATTTGATGAATACAGCAATTGAAATACAAGATAGATTGACAGAGAAGATGAATATGATTTATTTGAGCAGGACATTAGCTAGTCCAAGGGGAGGTGTTGAAGCCTAGGCTTCCTATTATGGACTAGCGCACCGCACAATAGTATATAGCATCCTCTGAGATATCCAACATAATCGGGCGACCCGCATGGTCGTTTGGTCACGTGATGTGGATTAGGCCTAATCGGGCGCCGGGCCTCAGTCAGGCTCAGTCAGGCGCTGAGCCTAACATCTATATTTTTATATATTATTATTCTCTTCTTTTTTATAGTACTTACAACTTCTATATTTCTATTCTTTTATGTTATTAGTTATAGTTCTTCTTATATTTTCTTTTAATATTTAGTTTAGTCATGTCAAGTATTCTTATATATATTTTTATTAAATAAATTTAAATTTTTATTTTATTTTTATTTTTATTTTTAAGTTTTAAACTATTGATTAAATTTTTATTTTTATAAAGTAAATTGTTTTTCAATAATAAATATTTTATTTAAAATTTTTAAAAAGAATAAAAATAATATTTTAAAAAAAATTTAAAAAAAATAATAAATTTAAAATATAATTAAAATTATATTAAAATATAAAAAATAATTATTAAAAAATTATTAAAAAAATTAAAAACTTATATTAATTTAATATAAATTAAATTAAATTAAATTATTTTTACTTTAAAAAGTAAAAAAAATATTACTTTTTTAAAATAAAATTATTTAACTCAAAATCTTAATAAAATAATTAAAAGTTTGATTAAATTTTATAATATATCAGATAATTATTAAAAAATAGTTAATAACTAATATATATAAATTAATAATAATAAATTATTATAAAAAAAATTATATAATAATAGTTAAGATATATATAAAAATAATTTAAAAAGTTACATCTTCAGTAATAAAGTTTAAGTAATAAAAAGAGTAAAGTATAATTTATTATAATATGTATTTTTATTCATAGAAATATCAATAACTTCAGTGATAATAGATAAAGTTTTAAGAAATTTAATAAATACAGATGATCTCATATATAATAACTATAATAAATGTGTAAATCAAAGCTTTTAAATCAGTTGAGTATAATTAATTCACTTTACAAGTAATATTTAATGATGATAGTTTATTTATTCATTATAAATTTTCTTTATTTTATATTTAAACTTATTTTTCTCTATAAGCAGCTCTAATAAATATCAATTACTCAGATTTTATAAGAGAAGTGAGTTAGTAATAACTTATTGAAGAAGATTTATATAAAACATATTATTAATACTAAGTAATGTATTTAAATAGTAGTTGTAACTGCTCAAAACTTTAACAATTATATATTTTATATGATAGATATTTAGTGAGATGAACAGTTGATTAGTTTATATATTTGAAGCTTAGTTATATTTGAGCTTAAGGGACAAACCATCCTTATATCAGAACCATCAACAAAATAGCAAGCTCCTCCTTCTTATCTCTGCACTTTCACTTCCCATCCTTTATCCCCAAAAGCCTCAAGTTGAGGGGATTATGTTAATTGCTAACGGAAACCGGTAGTCAAGTATTATTGAGATTCGAAAAGCATGTCTTTGAAACAATATATTTGACATATTTTGTTTGGTATTATAAGGGGTTGAACCCCTAGATTCGCTCTGGCTGGCTGACTCAGCCTAGCCATCGTTTGCACGTGCGCACGTGATCATGCTACGCGAGCTCGCTTAAGCTCGAGTTCTCGTCTCATTCTTTTCTTCCCTTTCTCAAGCAATTCGTCCTTGTTATATAGGAGGACTAGCCTCTAGTTCTTAGAGCTTAACCCTTTACAGGTGTCAAGCAATAGAGTTTTAGGGACAGACCACTTCACGAAACAGACAGGATCCATACACAATACAGTCAAAGACTTGACATCTTGTCCACGATAGGCGGGTTCTTGATGAAAGTCGGTTACACATAGGACCCGTTTCCAACAACTAAAACACCCTCTGGCGTCCCCTTTTGCATAAGACAGCCGGTTGCAATACATTAAACAGCAACAGAATATGATGCTCTAAGGGTTGCTTTTGTATCTAGACCCTGTTCTCCGGTCTCTTCACAGCCTCCTTGATGGCCACTGCAATTTTAAGGCTGGTATTGGCTGCCTCGCTGCTTTCCTTGTATTTGGATAGTCGGTATCAGAACCGGGCTGGCGTAGAAGCTTCTGAATAAAGCCGGGATACTCAATCATAAAACTTTGATAGTGAAATGTTAGTAACTTTAGTTGGATGCTTTTTTATGTGTTCATCATCAGCTGGTTTCTTTCTCAGTCAATTCTATGGCGTGGTTGTGGCAGGCCATAATAACGAAAATGGTATTCTTCACCATCGTTGGGTGTCTACTGCACTTGTAAATCCTCGTCACTATGAAGATGCTGTGTAGGTTGGGGAAATCATGGTATACAACCTTGTAGATACTCGATCAAAGAGGCAGCAATCCCACGATGCACTTCACTCAGGAATGGTGGAAGACTCTGATATATGGCACCCCTTGGCGTAATTGCGCTAAGTTTAACCAGTAGATATACAAGGGTCGTTTGAATCAACGGTGTTCTGAATAGTAGCTATGTTCCACATCTTAATGCGTAAACAATCGTTGCCATTTGAGTGAATATCCGGGCCTCCGTTGGCCGGGGATGTAGTGTTCAAGTTTGATGAAAGATCTCTCACGGAAAACTGCGTGATCAATATCCTGTGCGTGATTAAATTGGTAATATTGTCGACATAGACGAGGATGAACTGTCACAAGTAGGACTTGTCGGTTGGTGGAGAGATGTCTGTAGTTTCACATGAATATATGACTTTATAAAAGCAATGTATTCAAGAAAACTGCAAACAGGTAACTAGCCGGAAAATCAGGGGGGATTTATTGAAGAACAATTGGCTTCGGGGAGCTATCCGGCTTGGAAAAAAACCTTGATAAAATAGAAGTTCAGCTAGGATGCTCCTCGATATCAAGGTTTAGTGCTAAAATTCTTGGCGTTCCAACTTTGGAAACGATCGACATAAGGCTGTTGAGGCTCTTTCGATTATCAAAGTTTATCAGAGCCTCAACAACCATAACCTCACTTCATGCCAGGAAGGATTGTGCTATCTTACATACCATACCGACTTTGGTGGGTATTATTATTGGATATTCATATTCTGATTCGGCATTCAATCAGAGATTATGATGCCACGAAACATCAAATGTTGCGTCCCCAATAACCCCGACCATTCATTTTTGTCTTGGGGGGATGGAGGTGAACGTGGAACTTTACCTTAACCCCCGTGTAAGATATATGGAACCATGCCTTGCTATCTAGTGGAACCGGAGGGTCACAATAGAATGGCCAAGAATATCTGAGGTAGATCTAATGAACACCTGTTCGCCCCTGGTTGAACATTTGGATCATTGACCGATTGTAGCACCATATAGTGAATGTCGTGGATCCCCATCCCTAAATCAGGAGCACGAATCAAAAATTTCAAGGCGACAATCCACAAACTCAAATTTTCTATAAGAATGGGAAATTTGTATAGCTTACCTTCTGAACTAAAGAACTGTGTTGTGAAATGTATGACACAAAATTTCCACCAGTTTAATCATTGCATCTATCAGTAACTAATTCCAGATCCACAGGAGATCATTAACTGATGTGTTTCTGTTGACTACACTTGTTGAATACATGTTGCTTTAATTACTCTCTTTCAATTTTAATTCAATTCTTTTGGGAATGGTTCAGCTTATGTATTGCATATTGCTGGACAAGCTCTCTATATCAGAGTTAGAAGTTGTTGGCTGATGATAGCAGGAGTTACAGATTGCATTGCTGGTACAGAAGCTGACTTCATTTTCTGAAAATCACACACACACACACACACACACACTCTCTCTCTCTCTCTCTCTCTCTCTCTCTCTCTCTCTCTCCCCCCCTCCCTCTGTCTCTGTGTGTATATATAACTCGAACATATGATCAGATAATATTTGTGCACCTGGATTGAATGAGTAAATCCTTGAACAGCTGCTTCGCGCTCCTGCTGCAAGTTGAGGTTGCTACTACGTTAGCAGAAACTTCCAAGACTAGTTAGGATGAGCTAGAGTATGGGCTAGTTATTCAATGCTCTAGAACTCCACTTTTACACAAGTTATTTGTGATGCGAAGGGAAGTATCGAACGTCTACTTTCAACCTGGATATGTGGTTTAACCAAGACATGCATTATACGGACTTGTACAGCATATACACACCCAGGTTTCCTAAAAATGGACGTGAGTATGAGTGAATAGCTTACGATAGTATACCAACCAGATTGATAGAAGCGATTTCGATCATAATGTGGAAAGGCCAATCAACCGCTGCAAATATAACATAATCTGCTACAAGCATTTTGATTAGCTGGTTCTGACATAGCCTCACATAGCCGTGTATTCTGAAGTTACACATGCAGCGATATGAGCAAAGCGAACACGTTGTCATGGTGTAAAGCGGGTGAAGATAAGTTTGTGGAGTCGTTTTCTAATGAGAAGAGTGAAATTAAGGCCTGATATAGTTCAATTGGTGTTTATTCTCTCTGGCCAAATACTTATAATAACATTTCAATATTTTTGATTAGGGTAGAACGTAGCCATCGACTTGCAGGAAATGGGAGGATGTGTGGTCTTTCGAGAGAGCTCATGAAGAAGTAATATTACAACTGAAGAGTGCGGCTACCCACCAGGCATTCAAAAACATGCCTGCTTCATCGCTAACAGGGGAAAGATGCAACACTAGAGAAATGGAGTTAGAATTAATGAAAGGAACAGAATGATGTAAAAAGCGAACATTCCAGAGAAATTTCCATCAAATAAATCCCTCAATGAGAAGAGTAAAAACCTCACATAACCTAGCTGATTTTACAAATAAATTGGATACATAGGCATGTTTATATATGCCTTACTTCGCCCTCCTCTCTCGATGACCTTCTTTACTTTGTAGAGAGGTTGTGTTCAGCATCCATGTTACATCCGCCAACGGCTGTAGTTCGAAGACTACCTGTACTCTAAGTAAGGCAACCCTTCAACTAGCGGTAGCAAGTAGGACAGCAGGCAGGGGAGCCGTTAAGATACTGCTGCTGCTGCTGTGAACTTTCTGAATGATCTGGGGAAGTTAGTGCTATAAAGAAACAAGATAAAATAAAAATTCTGCTATAGAACACAACAAACAGCTCAGGGAGACGTGGATGTTGATCATGCATTAAGGGGAATGCAGAAATTAAAATCAACTAGAGCTGCAGAGAACATCTAAGTTGGTTAGTTAGTCATTAGGCTTTTATGCCTTCTTCTAGAAAATGAATTTAGAATTCACATGAAGAGCCTTGATATTTCCACAGAAGTTATCTGTGTTGATGTCCTAGATGCAGGAGTTAGTCTTCAGGAGTAAGTAAAGAAACCTACTGAGAAAATAACAAAACCACTAAAACGTAGCAACTCATTCCATGGAACAATTTAAAATCCAAATATTGGCCTGAGTCCCAGTAATCACAAGGTCATTTATTATGCCAGTCCGAATCTAAATTCTGCAGCAGATCAGCATGCCTCGTCCTTATCGCTGAGTTTATTTTTTCCTTACCAGGTGAGCGGAGAGTGGGTCAAAGGAGCTATTTCCGCAGTTGCTGCGTCAACTTAAACGCCCCTTTATATATCTTACATCAGAACCATGAATATGAAGTTTGACAGGTTACACCACATCATTTCGACTATGTAATCGCAAACTAGAGGTGTTTATGCAATAGCCACAAAGAGATTGGTGTGAATACCTACCTGGTTCCAATCAAAACAGTGTGAGACCTGAAACTTGAGAAGTCAAACAAACTGAATATTATGAATCCCTTTTCAGCCAGCTGCAAAAATGAAATGGAGCACATTGAACTGTTACATTTAAAATCAGTTGGGATTGTCCAGAAAGCTTAAAGAGCACAGCTTCGCTTTGGTAGGAGGGATATGGTCACGTGCCAATCTGGGCAGCCTGGCTGTATCATGCAAATAACTTGCAATGGCTGCGTCTGTAACTTCATTTATCACAAGAACCAGTCTTCACTTAATTCCTCCAATTATCTGCGATTACTTCTACTTATGATTCCCTTCTTTGCTTGATCTGCGTTTCTGCCAGATCAGTGGCGCTGGACCCTGGAGCTTAGATAAAGGTCATTCCTGATTGATTATTATTAGTGATATAAAGTTCTTGATCTGCATCGCATGAGCAATGTGGGCCAATAACCTGCTCCAACGTTGGCGCATTGGTGATGAACAGCCTCTCCAATAGTAAATGTGTTACTTCAATTCTCCATTGCATTTTTCCATTTTTTCTCCTTCCCTTCATTTGGTGATTGTTCACTAGCTGGTTGGAGCATAACCAGAAAAGTGGTTGGGAAACAGTGGCCAGGATGCGGGGCTCCGGCAATTAGAGGCAACACCGCAAGAACACAAACCTTGGGAGAAAGGGCTGGAATTGCTCGGACTAACCACACAAGCCACTGGAATGTCCAGTAGACTCAGTAGACTGTAGCGGGGGCACACCCGCTGTGGCATATGCAATCAAAAATCCCTGCGATAGGAGTTGCAACGGCGATCGAGGGGAACTAGATCTATGTTCCTGTAGGGCATTAACATAATGGCAAGCAGTCCATGAACACAAAGATTAATGTCCATAAATCAAAGAAACCGTCTTGTAAACTATGAATAATAAAAATATAAAAATGTTGAAGATCGTACGTTGGGGCGATTGTTCCTGCGAGAACTGTGAGAGCTTTTTCAATATGTCAATTTGATCTATATCCCGTTTCATCATCAAGCTATAAAGAATTGCAACCGCTCTCTGCAAGGAGTTGTTTTAACTGAAGGACGATTTCCCAGTTTATCACTCATTCTTCAATACATGATGTGCGCGCTTCATTCACAACATCCATTTAAGCATCAATTCGCCTCACCCAATCCATATATAGAGCGGGGATTTGTTGTTAATATATTTGAGGTTGTCAATGATGAGAATTCAAGGGTCCCACAGAAACAGAATCAACAACCAGGATAACAGACAAGGGAAGTGAACACATGTGTGTGCACTTAGTTCCCAGGTTGGTTTTATCATCACCGGAATCGACGACACAACCATTTCCACCACAGATTGAATAACATATCCATGGATATGTCTCGGTAATAGCCAAACAAATTGAAGTTCCGAAAAACAATGGTAGCTGGTAAGACTCTAACCACCTACCCGCTCTGCTTATCCCTTCTTTTCTTCGGGTAAACCTTTTTGACTCCACAACAATGGCTAGGCACTGCCGTGGTGCGGAAGCATGCAGGAGAAACCAATTTTTGGAGGATTTGACAATGGGATCAGCTTGCTTCGATCAATGATTCTAGCCCTAGCGACTTGGTCAAGTATAAGGTAGACCCGGTCGCACATGACATATTCTTCTTTGATGCATCAGTCAAAAGAAGGACTTACCATAGTCCACACAACATTAATGGGATCCATTCGCGTCCGACCTTTCTTTCAGTTTTTTTCCACTTTATTTTTGCTTTTCTTCCCCTCTTATTTTTTTTAAGAGCAGTAGAGGTAAGCTTCGGGGAGGCTGCAGAATGTTTGCTACCTAATAATGCTCGAACGACCCGAGTATAAAGCATAAATATCCCCGTAGGCACCGACTTCTTGCCCTTCCAATCCACCATCACTGGAAAACATTAGGGCAGACATAAAGAAATATATACCAAGAAAACCTCATCACGCCTGCTTACCAAGCCTCCGCTTTTCTTGTTAATTGGAAGGATTTGACCATCTGTAGAGATGGCTGTTGGCCCTAGAGTGTCCAAGGAGGAGTTTATGCATGCTCTTGGCCTTAACACAAATAACCCTTTACATGAGACTTTATACCGAGCAATGAGGGTGAGTTTCTCGAACTTCCGGAGAGCGTCGCGCCAAGGAAACATTGTCTGAAGCCATACAAAGGCAATTGGAAGAAGGCAGCCACTGATCAGTACGTTGTTAGGATGAAGCAATTATCGTTTACAATATATTGAATCAGGAAAACTCCAACCTTCTTGAAAGCTTGAGGAACGACCCTTCCATCCGACCGCCATTTTTCTGGCACCACATCCGACCAGAGGTGCAGCGTTGGGGCATTCTAGAAATTTGGAGAAACTCCAAACCGGGAACACGGGCGTGGTTTGATCGAGGTATTACAAACGGAGAATATGGGCCCAACTGGGTAACGGGATGGCTGTTGTACAGCGTTTTCCGTTCTCGAGACGTTCGCAATAATCGTAACCGACGGAGAGGTGAAGAAGGGGGTTCTGGAACTTCAGGTGGTACCAATACCCGTTCGCACCGTTTGTCATTAAATTGTTTGCCGCATGCAAACTGATAGATCATTTCATATGTTGTTAGACCGGGGCCAGTCGAAGAATGGTCGAGGTACTACCTGCGGCAGTGAGAGACAGAAAGGCGGATACTATGATCCAGTCCGGAACGGCACACATTAATATGCCATCTATAGTTCCATGACGGATTGGACTTTGTTTTCCTTGGTTGCTGGACAACATATCACAGTGTTGGATTGCAGGGTAGAGCTTACATTCATACATTCATATATTTGTTGGGTTAATTTTCTCAAAAGTTCTCTACCGGATCCCCATTTCTCTTCTCTTCAACCACAGTCAGCAGTACTTTTCAGCATCTTCCTGGTATTGTCATTATTCGATGTCGGCCACTGTCACATTTCTATTGGCAGCAACGGGCACCGTTTTTGTTTTTCTTATTTTCTCCTTTACTCTTCGACTATGATGTTATCCACAAAGAGCAACTTGGTATTGTAGATCATCCTGTCCCATTCCGCAAAGTTTCGACTCACAGAGGCCCGATGACATGAACCAAGGTGTGTAGAAACCTATCCGCTGGCTGGAGGTAATGGCCTATCTCGATAAGCTAACATGTGATGTCGTGGTGTTCAATGGACCCTCTATAACTTCGTGATCGAGAACGGTTCATCTGTTGGCCCCCGGTTGGTCAATCACGGTGCCGAAATTGCTGGGTGCAGTGCACGCTTGCTTTTATACTCACCACCTGTTCAATCTACTCAAAGGGGTGTCTCCAAGTCCACGTTTGCGGTAACGCATCTTCTGGGATTGGTGAGTTTGATTCGGGCATCTGATAATCGACAATGGAGCGTCGCTCCCATGTTCCGTCCCAAGATACTGACGGGCCGATTCGATCAAAAAGGTTTAACTATTTGATAGCGCAGTTCTCTACGGCCTAATTACAAGAGCCACCTTTGATGTTTATCCCCAGAATCTATCCTTGGGACTGCCAATTTTTTTTTTTTTTTTTTGCCATTCTCTTTGGAATCTTGG